AAAAAAAAAAAAAAAAAAAGAAATAGGGCTATCTTCTTTTAGAAGGGGGAGCCTGGTTGATTGGTTAGTCAATTGATAAACACTGTTGCCTGAACACCCACTGTGTGCAGAGCCCTAGCAGATACACCGGTGAGGGCAGCGCTAAGGATTCTACCTTCTGGGAGCTCATTTCCTGAGCAGAATTTCCTCTTGGTACCTGGCCTGGCGCACAGAAGGCACTAGTGCACAGAAACAACATCTGCTGAAGGAATGCATGGATGAACTCCTCCGGGGGAGCATCTAAGTAGCATTAGAATGGGCATGAGACATAGTGAACCTGGATTCAGCACCCTGGCAGCTGGAGCCTTGGAGGTGCATTTTAAAGGAGAGATTGATCAGAGTAACGCTTAGCCAAAGGAATGAAGGGAAGAGGAGGATTTCAAGAACAAAGAACACTATTTTTTTCTTTTTTTGTGTGTATCTCTGGCAGTTTTTGGCATCAAGATGATGCTGGCCTCAGAATGAGTTATGAAGGAGTCCCTCCTCCTCAGTTGTTTTGAATAGTTTCTGCAGGAATGGTACCAGCTCTTCTTTGTACGTCTGGTAGAATTCGGCTATGAATCCATCAGGTCCTGGGCTTGTATTAGTTGATAGGTTATTTATTACTGATTCAGTTTAGAGCTTGTTATTGGTCTGTTCAGGGAATCAGTTTCTTTCTGGTTCAGTCATGGGAGGATTATGTGTCCAGGAATTTATCCATCTCTTCTAGGTTTTCTAGTTTTTGTGTGTAGAGGTGTTTGTGTTTCTGATGGTTGTTTTTTATTTCTGTGGGGTCATTAGTAATATTCCTTTAGTCATTTCTCATTATGTTTATTTGGACCTTCTCTCTTTTCTTCTTTATTAGTTTAGTTAGTGGCCTGTTTTATTAATTTTGTTTTTCAAAAAAACAACTGGATTCATTGATCTTTTGAATTTTTGTGTGTGTCTTGATTTTCTTCGGTTCAGCTCTGATTTCTGTCATTTCTCGTCTTCTGATAGACTTGGGGTTGACTTGTTCTTGCTTCTCTAGTTCTTTCAGTTGTGAAGTTAGGTTGTTAATTTCAGATCTTTCTAACTTTTTCATGTGGGCATTTAGTGCTACAAATTTCCCACTTAAGCACTGCCTTAGCTGTGTTCCAAAGAATCAAAGAACATCTTTCTACCCATCCCTAGAAGTGGCCTTTTGGGGCCAGGTGAGAACATCAGCCTTTTCCTTCAGTTTTTCTCCAGTCCCTTATCCTTTTCATTTACTGATTCAGCCTCCAACCCCAGCCCACCCCACCTAGGCCAGAGCTGGCCTCAGAGGTCTGACATAGCCCCTTGTTTGCAAGAAGGGAAGGAAACTGAGGTGCAGGTCAGGCAAGAGACTTGTTCAGGGTCACAGAGCAGGTTGGTGTCTAAGCTGGGACTGGAATGCAGGTTTCTGGTCCCCAAGACTGGTCAGCAGCGTGTGCCCTGGGAGTGGAAGCCAGTCAGCCTGGGGGTGCTCAGGGGCTGTGGAGGGGTGCAGGGCTGGCTGGGGGCTCATGCCACTGGGGAACTTCAGCCTTTGCCCCTGCTGGGCAGTTTTGCAGGCTGTCATCAGGAGATGCAGTGGGGCGCCTGGGTGGGCCTGCCTGCCCTGCACCAGCCTCTCCCTCGACCCTGTGGTTGGGCTGTAACCCTGCAGGGCTTCCTCAGCCCTGGGCACTGGGCCTGGCTTCTTGACCATTTGCCCATTTGTCCTGCAAGCTTGGCCTGTTGGACATCCACACCTGTGCAGACAACTTGGTTATCAGCAACCCAGTTTACTGATGAGGAAACTGAGGCCAGAGTGTGCAGATGACTGCCACTCACAGGCCATTGGTAGCAGAGCTGGGATTGGGTGCAGGCCTCCTCCCAGAGGCTGAGCTTAGCTGGGAGAGGTGTGCTGTGGCGGGTAAGGCAGGTGCGGCAGGGGCCTCCCAATCTTGAGGGAGGCGCTTTCTTCATCTGCC